GACGGACAATAGGCGCGGCCTATTACTCGCTAATAGGCATAATGGACCGAAAGTGGCACGTTTGGTTTGTCACTGGCTCGCGCGTCACATCGAAGACAGCTTTTCTAACGGCCACGCGGGTGACGCGTGTATCTGATGAACTGGTTAGATCCCGTCTACGCTGAATTCGTGCCTTAGTCAAGCCATCCCTTCGCTTTGAGCGAGCAGCTCACAAACAGGAGATTGCCAACACCATTCGCCGTCGTTGTCGATCTGTGTTTTCTTCCATACCGATGCCGGGCACTCCCCGCCCGGCTGCTTCAGACCAGATTCCGACTTTGACAGACCAGACGGAGTTAGCCGGCAACGGGCTGCATATTCTCTAGCTCAAGGTGATCCCTAGTTGGGTTGAAACGACAGGCTGATGTAGTCAGCTTAACCGTCGCCAACCCAACGGGCGGCTTAACCCCTCGCTTTTTGTCGGAGATGTCTCCGGAACGGTTCAATAGATCGCAGGAAAATTTCGACTTGTCGAGCTCCATCCTTTTCACACTTGAACAGCGAGTTTCAGTTTCCCACAATATCCGGTCGCCCACCTGTGGCCTGATTCCCAAAGCCCTGAACGACGAAAACGAGGAGAAGCCTCACTGCACTACGCATTCTCAGCTTTGAGATCACCGGATCTTCTAATCCACTCGTTCTGAAGGTGAGAATGCGCTATGTCTGCACGCTATCAATGCCCGCGGCCTTCCCTAAGGTCATGCAAGACCACGTCACGTGAGACGGAATGCTGACCGTCACCTGAAACTTGCTCTTAAACACGCTGTGCCATGAATATCGAGGAAGTGCCAATGCCATCAGATGCCACGGTCAGGCCATGTCAAATCTTCGAAGGCCTCCAATATATTGATAATAGTTTTTACAACTTCGGTCGTCCGTACCGTTATGGGGCGGTCAGACTAGATACCTAAATAGCCCCAACTCACCGCACACAAATCCCCGAGAGAAAGTGGTGCATACTCTTACTTGTATCAGTTTTAGCCTGCGCCTTATGCAAATCCACGTGCAGACGGCAAAAAAAAACCATATGACCTCGTTTAATCTAGCCTGACATGTTAACCATGGGTGGTGTTGTAAATGGCGCAGTAAAAAGTGAAGAAACTTGTGGAGTTCTCTCGCCGTGTTTATTCTTATTTTAGCACACCGCATATAGAATCGGCAAGGGGTCGTTCTAGCGGTCTTATCAACGTATCCCAGGGTGCATACAAAGGCCAAACCGGCGGAGATGGTGAAGCCTGACGACATTTATCATCTGGTTATTCAGCTATGTTCTATCACCCGGGCACCAGCACGCATACCGTTACGCCCACTCCTGCTTTGCCTCACGCTGTCTGCACAGCCAGCTGTCCCACGTCATGCGCCCTATTCAGCGCTTTGTTCAGGCGGCGGCCAAGAGCGAAATGCAGTCTTCGTAAAAAGGTCTGGGCCGCGGCCGTAAAAACCTCGACCCGTATTGAACTCCTGACCTGCTCGGCCCGCTGCAGCGTCGCCTATCGACCGGTTTGGCGGGGCCCCTCCGTTCAGCTTCGACCCGAGCGGCGGTGGCGTGACCATCCCCGCCGAACGCTCCAACCCGCGCCTAATGGGTGGCCGCCGGTCAGCCGCCGGCCGGCGCCGGGCCCCGGCGGAGGAGCCCGCCGCACAGTGCGCCCGCCGGTGGCGCCGGCTCGCGCCGCGCCGCGCAGCGGGGGCCGGATGGCCACTAATGACCGTCGGCAGCGCATGCCACGGTCTCGTGCTGTCGCATTGTGAGCGCTTCCCCGGCCGTGTGGAGCGCGTGATAGGCACGCCGAGCGGAGCCGGCCGTTCAGGCGGCGACCTTTGTGGCCGACCCGGACGGCGCGGAAGCGGTCCGGCCGGCCGGGGCATCGCCCGCGCCGCTGCCGCGTCACAGCTTCCGGCCGGCCCTGCGCTACGACTGGGTCACCGCTCGGCGCCGGCCGGCCACGCTGCCGGGCCCCGCTGATTCACCGCGTCCGACCCCAGCGGCGGCAGAGGCGCGTCGGAGGCTGGCGTGTCACGCCCCGCGCGTCGGCCCCCGCCGCTTTGTGCCACCCGCACGAGCGCCTCACCGGCGCCAGTGCACCGGCCGGTCGTCCGGACCGTTGCAGCCTGCGCACCAGCGAACTGCATGCGGTGGGAGGAGTGCCATGACGGCGGGGTGTCGGTGGCGGATGACTCTACCGGCCAGTACAGGCGGCCGAGGGATGACCCGTGCCAAGGGAGTCCGCTTTGTCTGGATGAGGATGTATCGCCGTCACTAAGCCACATCAACCACATTTTTATCGCCACAGAACCTGATACGCGTGAGAACCCGGTGGGTTTCCACAACAGGGCGGCAGATGGACAGCTGTCGGACCGAGGGATGCAGCCCAATACCGTCACACTACTGTCACTGTTACATGCCACGGGCTCGGCAGCCGGAAGCCTCCCCACCGCCGCCACCGTCTCTATTTCCTGCGTGCTCTCTGCGTGCTCTCTGCGTGCTGGCATGGCGCGCAACCTCCGCTCCCCTTCCCACGGCCGAGCTCTACTCTCCCGTGCAAAACAGATCACTGTATTAATTTGTGTTTGACTACCATGCATTTCTGCTTTTACGTTGTGGCATTCGGTCACTTTTTGACGCTCGTCGACATTTCTTTGGCCATGGCCACGTCACCTGACTGCGCCCCCGGCGTCCAACCCTGCAACGGTCCGCCGCAGCGCCTCCGGCGGCTCCGTCGCGCAGTCCCGGTCCCTGGCCAGGGAGCATGGCGACGCCGGTCGGCTGCACTGGCCGCGCGGCGTCAGCCGGAGCCATTTGGCCGGGAGAAAGCAGGGCCCTCGGCGACGTCTCACGCGCCAAGAATCTAGGCAAACTCGGAAACATTGACCCATTTGCCGGGCGGCCGGCAGCCGGCTCGGGTGGGCGAGGATCCACGCGCCGACGGCTGGTGTGAAGGCTCTGGCGCGTGTGACCGCACGTGACGTGCGCCGCCGCCTGGCGCCGTTACGAGCATCGAGAGTTGACTCGGCCGTCGAGTCCCAGGCGGCCGTCATTGACCCGCAAAAACTATTGGGGCTCGACCGCAGTGCGGTCGCTCCGCCGTCGGGGGCGCCGCTGGCGGCGGCTGCGGTGCCACCTCCTGCCGCCGCCCGGGCCTGCCAGGCCCCTCGGTGCCGCTCCAAGTGGGACGGCGCACGCTGGGCACGGACGGTTTCCCTCTGTTTGGCGGCGTCTGGAGGTCCCAGACCCAGGGGAGCAGGAGGCGCGCGCGCCGAGCGTTGACCGCGTTAAGCACGGGCCGTAGGCGAATCGCCGTGGGAGTGCGCCGTCGACCAGTGAGTCATTCACTAACGCCGCTACGGTTTTTGTCTTTCGTGACTGGTGATATCTTAGAAAGTCTCGGATTCGTATGAGCTGCTTCTGCAATGGCCTGCCGCTCGAAAGTGCGACGGAGTTACAGTCGTTGCGCACAAAACCACGAACAGCAGCATGTCGCGTTTGGCATGCGGTGCTGCCTCCTCCCGGCGCTCTTTCAAACTGGTTAATTACGCATGCATTCCGTGCTGCCAGACCATTTGCGATAATTGCCTGACGCACAGTCGTCCGTACCACAGCGACTTGCATACCACGACGACCGTTTAACGAGACGCACTCAGTCTGCGAAACCTGTCGACGCATCTGTTGGTCCACGCTGTGAACCAATATTCAGGACGAGCTCCCAAATGCAAATATTCGTCGACAAATTGTGGGGTTTCATACGAGGAGTGCGGCCACCGTCCCCGCGGGCAACACGCGGCAGCCGGTCAGCCTCCAAGAGCAGCCGGCGGGTGGAGCGCGAGCCGAGTTGACGAGGAAGCTGGCGGTGACCCGAACGGGCCGCTTTCCAAAGTCGATTTGCGTGCCGGACGTTGCATAATCATGACAGATCGGCACCAAGACCCAGATGGCGTATAGATGGCTCAGCGAAATCCGTGCGGCAGGTGATTATGTCTTTGTCACAGAGCCCGATCTTCCCGCTAGCTATAACCCATGCAACAAAACATTCTATGGCAATTTGTCTTTGCATGCTTTCGAGACTCGAACCGTAAACTACACAGTCATCTCTCGTTTAAATTTCTGGGCGACGCGGCAGGATTCTGCCGCGCTGTACAGGGATCAGACAGCGCGGGGCATGTTGGGAATGGCAATGACTCGGCGGCTGGCGCTCCCTGTGGGTCAAAGGGTCAGGGCTGGCCCCGCTAGACGCCCACGGCCGCCGCTCCAGAAGCGCCAGTCACGCAACGCCCGGGATCGCGCCCCATGTCGACACGGCAGCACGCGGCCGGAGGCTACGCACTGCCGGCCGGATCAGGCGCCGCTCGCGTACCAAAGTCGTTAACATGTCACGGGTGAGAGAGGACCGCCTAAATAGCTAGAGATGCCGGAATAGGCGATGAGAAGGTGGGACCGGAGGCAAGTGATGCACTCGACAGCCTCACGACCACAAAAACGCCGGACAGTGATTTGAGGTGGGGTGGGCCTAATATCGTATGATAGGGCGATCTTAATGACCCATTTGGCGGCTCGTTGCGGGAAGCGTTATCAGATGACCTCACGCCTCACCAGAGGCGTTGCACCTGTCACCTGGGTACTCCGGGGTGTACCGGGGTGTTCTCTGTGGCCTGTGGACTGACCGATGGTTGCTATCAGGTGATCCGAGGGAACACCTGGAGAGGAGCGGTAAGGCGATCAAGGATCGCCTGATGAGCAGCGGCCAGATGATCTGGCTGCTCACCTTCAGAGGTCGATCTGGGGACCCACCTGGGGATGAGCGTTCGAAAAGCCCGATGACTCCCTGAGAACAAACAGTCAGGCAATCTGAGGATTTGCCTGATCAGATGTTCCCCGATGATCTGGGAGCTCACTCGATGAGCAGCGACCAGGTTATTTGAGGAATTTGCCGGGGCGGAAGTGTTGTTATGACCTGGGGACTCACCTGAGGAGGACCGGTCACGGTCGCGGTGGTCCGGGCTGGGTGCGTCGTCGGAGCCGATGCCGCTGGAGTCCTCCTGGACAGGCGTCTTGCCGACCGGGGCTGGGTCAGTGTCGTAGTCGCGCGGCGGCAGCAGCAGCGGGCCAGAGTCGCGGCCGTGGATCTTGGTGCGGAGCTCGGCCGCCAGCGAGTCGTACAGCGAGGCCACCGGCGCGCTGGCCGAGCCCGAGCCGCCGATGGACGGCGCCGGCTGCTGCTGCTCCGGCTGCTGCTGCTGCTGCGGCTGCTGGTGGTGCTGTTGCTTCTGCGGGGGCGACTGCTGCTGCTGCTGCTGCTGTGGCGGTGGGCCGGCCAACAGGCCGCGTTCCATCAGGCGCGCCTCGATCTCCTGGATGTGCGCTCGGTTGTCGGGCCGCGCCGCCAGCGTCTGCAGCTGGCCGGCCAGCAGCGCCGCCGTCTCCGGCGAGTCGCAGCGGTACGTGTGCACGTGCACCGGACACTTGGTCACCGGGTTGAAGATGAGCAGGATACAGCTGACGATGTCGCGGTCTGGCGCCGGCTCCTGCACGGCGTACGTAATGGCGTGGTCGGGGATGAAGTGCTTCACCGGCTCCGTGCGGCCCTTGCCGTTCTTCTTGGGCACGTGCTGCACGATCTTGAGGCCCTTGTCGCTGACCTGCAGCGTCACCTTGGTCGGCTCCACGTGCTGCTCCTTGCGCATCAGCTCGTCGACCACGGGCGCCACGAACTCGCGGCCGCGCAGACCCCGGCTCTCGAGCGCTCCCAGGAACCAGACATAGTAGGAGGCCTTCTCCACGTCACGCGGCTTGTTGGGCCGGAGCGCCATGGCGCCTCGGTGGCGGCCGCCGGCGCACGTGAGGTGGACGGTCGCAGGCCGCTGCCGCTAGTCCGCACGGCGCCACGCTCGGGGCACCAATGGCTTCCATAGCGGTACAGGCGGCAGGCGGCGACCGGTGGCGCCGCCAGCGGTCGCTCACGAAAACGGACCGCGCCCGGCTGTGCAGAATGGAGGTCGGAAGGGCATCGAGGGGCGGCAGCGTGCGATGTCGCATGCAAATTGGACGTTAGTAATGGTCAGCATCTGGAATAAACGTCGTTTTTCTGCTCCCCCGCGTTATTCCGATTGCTACTTTGCAGTATTCAACATGTTCGATGCTCCCTCCTACTCAGCATTCATCTATCGTTCGACTTAATCACTTCCTCGTGCCTAGAGCTGCAACGTCAACGTCACTGCTCTCGTTGGTCACCTCAACGGTGACACAGCATGTTCGTACAGTGTCAGACCCAATAAGTAGCGCTCGATCGCCAGCTTCTTGCACCTGACTTTGCCAGACGATCCAATTAAAATCTATCCCACGATCGGTAGAAGTTTCATCATGTGCTGGCGCACTACAAGACCTCCCGCGGGCCAGCGGTTCCCCACAGTCCGCCGCATATCGGGCTCGCTCCACAAAGCTACGCGGTGTATTCAGTCCTGAGCCATCGAAGCCATTCCGCGCGCGCTCAGTCAGTGGTTCCGCATGACGAGCGGCCTCGGTGGTGCCACCCTCCAGCTGATAGTGTTCAGACGTCAGATCGGCGCATTCATAGCGCACCAGGTCGGCTTTCGATTTCTCTAAACAATATCGCCGCATGCCCGCGCCCGCGCCCCGCGGAGACGGGACCGCCGCGGCCGCGCGCCGCGTGCCGTCGCCTATTCGCGCGGGGCACGCCGGCGCTCGAAAAACTGGCGCCGGCCGATTTCTACTAGCGCAGACGGTAAAAGCCGCCGGTGAAACGCCCTTTGCTGGTGGCGGCGCGCACCAATGAGGCACGATTAGTCGTGGGACACACAAGGGCCGATGATTGCGGCTAATGGCACGCCTTTCCAGCGGCGACAATTGATGTCAATTAGACCGAAGCGTTTGGTCAATATTTGGGCTTCACCGATTTGATCAGTTAGCATTGTCGAGGTGTGTCGACTGAAAGATCGAGGTACTAACAAAACACCGTCGCTGTCTTCGTGCTACTCGATAACCAATTACATGCAGCACGAAATGTAACTGTCCATAGCTTCGGATATCGTTTGGTATGGTTTTCAGATTGAGAACAACTTTACGTCCAATTACCTGCAAAACAATGGTATGAACGTCCCGTACTGAAAGCGGCGCAGTGCCAGTTTGCTTAGTTAGTCCACCACGACACGCGAGCGGTGTGTCCACCAGCCGCGCACGGGATCGGTTGATCCACAGGCCGCGGTCAGCTGCCGTGTCAGTGTACAGAGAACGCTGCAGAGCAGCACGGCCGGCAGATACGCCCGGATCAGCCCTGATCCAGGAGACCAGCTTCGGCAGCAGTGCGGACTGCCACGGCGTCGAGCCGAGCAGGCACGATCCGCCGACGGGCTGCAGAACGGCCACGACAGCTGCCGCGGCCGCCGGCTCACCAGTTGTGACGGTGTTCGACAAAAGGCGGCAACGGTGCTAGACAAGAGTTATGGAGGCAGCGATAACACGGGTTCAACGGACGCTGACGGCACGGCCCGAAGCATCTGTAGTTATGTTCCGGATTCGTGACGCGGTCGTGCTAATCCTCCAATCGATCTGCCCTGATGCTTTCGTTGGTCCGTCACTACATAAGATCAAAACACCTCTGAACACGGGTCATTATGCGTCGGCGCATCTCCGCGCGATGCAATTAACGAAGCGTGTCGGCCCTGGACGACGACATTGGCAATGGAGCACCCAAGTCGACCGAAGCCGGCGGCGTCCGTGTACACACCAACGCTCTGGGCAAGTGTTGGCACGCCAGCCCAGTGGGCCGTCACCCGCTGAGAGGGCACGTGCTGCAGAGCCGCGGCGCGTGCCACCACAGCCGCCGAGCCGGGCGGGCCGGGCGGCGCCGCCTCGCCAACCCGGCCCCGTTACCGAGCGACGGCCGGGCGCGCGGCACGGGCCGCCGCCACCGCACCGGTCCGCCTCCCACGTCACCGCGCCCCAACCCGGTCAGGACAGGTCAAGTGGATACGGGCCGGTCGGGCGGGCTGCGCGTGTCGCCGCCGCGCAACTGGGACAGCGCGCGGCGCGGCGTCACAGCCGACCCGGCGCGCCGGGCGGCCGCTGCTTTCATGCGCGGCTGCGTTGCTCTGTTCTCCAGTGCGACGAGGAAGGAACATAGCGGGAAATATGCAGCGTTTATTTCACTGAACAGTACCGTGGCGCACGAAAAGCGAACACTCGATACCCTGGCCGTTCGTGCAATTGCTTGCACAGTGCTAAAAGTAAGCTTCGGTCCCATGCGTAGTTATCTCGCGTGCAGCCCCGCAGCTCAACAGCACGCTGGGGCTTCGAGCACCCGCGCTAAAAACGACTATCCAAAGTATCACAGGTATGCCAGCAACGCGGCAGTCGCCGTACAAGCCCGCCGACAGGAACAGTCGCGCGCAACCTGCCGTTCCCGGTGCTGCGCCGAACAATCGCTGCTGCTTGACGGAGTCCGGAGGTAGTGTGCAAAACTCGACCACGTGACAGGACAAGGACGCAGTGCAGGCAGCGCGCTCGAAAAAGGCGGAGGTCTGCGGGAAACCAGACGAGAGCGGGAAGTATCCGACATGCAACACAAGCGGCATGCCAGAGTTTCGCCACAGCCTCGCACCCCACGCCGGAGCGCTCAGCGGTCGCCGACGAGGATTATTCGGGTCAAGCGAGGTCGAGGCGGCGCCGAGGCCGTCTCAACAGCGTGGACAGTCGCACATCGCACGTTCTGAAGGGCACGTGTAAAGGACGCGCGCATGCAAAGCACAGAAGACAAACGCAGAGGAACAGTGCGTCCTGGTTTGTCGACAACCGTCCGCAAACATTTTCAAGTAACTTTCAACCCCTCGCTCAGACCGTTTCGCGACGACTCCACGCCCAATGTGATTCCAGCGACACCGTGAACGCATGGCGCGTCTTTATCTAATCCACCCGTCCCGACATAACACGGCCTATTCTACAGTACAAAACTTCTGAACTGTAACAAGCTATAGCCATTACCGGTTTCTATGCGCAAGCCAGCAGCAGAGCACGTAGAAGAATAACATCACAGCACAGTTTTTTGCAAGCAGCAGCCAGCGTGCCGAGTTGCGGGAAGAGCAGGGTTGCAGAGGACATCGGTCCGCACAGTTCACGGGCTGTGGAGGACTAGCAAGCGGACAGGTAGCAAGCGAAGATGCGCCCTGAAACCGCCACATGGAACGAGGCGGCCGTTTACAGGGATTACGGCCAACCACCTGCCTGTCAGGCGCTGGCTGCGTCTGACCGCCGTCGCCAGTCGCCATCAGAGCGGGCCAGCGCACCGCCGTCACCAGAGTCGCCATCTGAACGGGCCACCGCACCGCCGTCACCAGAGTCGCTCCCAGGGCGGGCCACCGCACCGCCGTCACCCCGTGGCGCCCGCCCGCGCTCACACCACCGCGTCACGCTTCGGCCAAGGTCACCGCCGCAATATCACCCGGTAACGTAGAGATAACGACCGATTCCCTGCTCGGAGGAACGCAGGCTCACGCTGCGTTTAAGATTTCTGGCTGCCACAGGCTAGCTGCGCCCCACAGCGGAAAAACAAACGGCAGTAGCACCCACAGGCGGCAACACAAAATGATATGCGAGAACGGTAAGAGCGTGGCAAAGGCTTGGTTGAAACAGCGATGGCTGTTCATCTAAAAACAATCTTTCGTCGTGTAGCACTATCGTGACTGCGAACACCAACGACGTGTTCTTCACCAGCACTCCATCGTCAAATACGTAGACATTATCAGCTTGCTTACAATCATGTGATACCAAACAACTGCTAATCTTCTAATCTGCTTCTAGTCATGCAATATTGCGCAATGGGTAGCTATAAGTTGCCTGATCACTCAGATTATATCACGGCTTGTTGCATGTGATGGTCTATGAACTACATTCTCTCCAACACATCACTGTTTGTGGAGAAAGCAGTCACCACAAAGTGGAAGAGAAATGCAAATACATGAAAGGGAGTCAAAATTATTTGAAAAGGGTTTCAAAAATTAATTCCTTAAAAAATCAATCGTTACCCTGTTACCAGACTACCTGTCACTCATCGCACGGCCTATGTACGGTAAGGACTGAACAACATGCTGCACACAAACTAACTGGTCTGATACTGACCGTTGCGGATGTCAAACGAACCCATTCCCTGCAGCGGCACGCTAAGGCACTTACGTTGACACGACGACGATGCGACGCCACGCGTCTCCGAGCTGTACGAACACGTGAGGGTATAATTTCAAATGCAGCGCTCATGATCACTTACCCACTCGGCAACCCAAAGACATTTCATCCAAAAGCATCGCAAGATTGATGACGTTAACGTCGGAAACGGTCCCAAGCTGAATTATCCTGTTTTGTCAACAGGTGGCGTTATCAGAAGTTCTTCTCGCGGCCGAGCTTGCGGCTCATGGCCACCACGGAGACGGCCACAATCAGCATGTTGATGGCGACGGCCAGCAGGCCGCCCCAAGTGGCCCAAAGGTCGAGGTCGACGCCGTCCGGGTGGTGCGGCGCGCGCGCCTCATCCATGTCCAGCCGGGCGCCGTTCATCTGCTCGTTGGTGGCCACGATGCCGAGGATGTGCAGGAAGTTGTGCGAGTGTCCGATGATGTCGAACGTGCCGGGCGCCATGCGCTCCGGCAGGTGCGTGCCGTAGAAGAAGGAGCCGAGCATGGAAGCGGCCACCTGGCGCAGGTGGAGCGCGTCCGAAGGCCGACACGGCGTCCACGGCCGAGTCTCGGCGCAGGTCAGCAGCCGGTACAGCAGGGGCACATTGTCCCAGGCGTAGGGCACCAGGAACGCCAGCAACCGCGTCCGCTTCTGCCAGAAGCTGCGCTGCAGGAAGCGCGACCGACACGCCAGGAACGTGCAGACGATCGTGTTGACGAAGCAGACGTGGATGAAGTAGTCGCTATAGACGGTGCCCAGGAGGTCCTTCGGAAAGCAGTAGCTGCGGTACAACACGCCCACACCGTAGCTGAAGATGCTGATGGCAGCGTAGTCGATGAAGAAGCCGACGTGGGCCGCCCTGACGGACATGGAGCTGAAGGCGTGCGCCACACACGAGACGAACGGGTACACGCAGGTGGTCAGCATGTAGCAGATGTAGGGCCAGGTGTACGAGTCGGAGAAGTCGAGCGAGTGCCGTAGTTCAGCCAGCTTCCAGATGAAGTAGAGCGACGGCAGGAAGTGCGTCCAAAAGTTGATGGTCTCGTTGGTGGCCAGGAAGAGGCCGCGCACGCAGACCCAGGGCGACCCGTGCGGCACGTAGCCGCTGATGATGCCTGCCGGACGGCCGGGGCTGTGACACCGGCGCGGACCGAGGCGGCGATATTGCCACCGATAGCACCGTGGACTACAGCAAACACGAGCCGCCGCCGGCCGCGTCCACAGCACGGTTCCACTGCAATTTGGACCAGCCAGACATCGATGACGGTATGAATCACAGGCGCCACGACAAACATCCACGCCTTGTGCGCCGTGCAGCCCGGGCACGGCCGTGACGTGCGGGACGAGCGCACGCCGACCGCGCCCGCAATGGGGTTAGGGTCACTGGGGCGTGGATGGCGACCGACCTCAGGTCGGTCAGGTCGCTAGAGAGGGGCAAAGAGGGGAAGGGGAGGGAGGCGGACCTCTCGTGGCTCACCCGGCTCCTTGTGCACGTCGGCCACCTCGTGCACGCTCAGCAGGCGAATCTTGCGCGCGCCGGCGTCATCATCGGAGCGCCGTTTCATGTACTGCTGGATGACGCTGGACGTCTGCGTCAGCCGCTCGATGACGCTGTACCTCAGCATGGCCGGCGGCGGCGGACGGCGGCGGGGCCGGCGCGGCGCGCGCTCACTCACGCGCCCAACGTCGTTACGACTGAAAGTGGCGCCGGCTCGATACATGACCCGCGCGACAACGCGCGTGAGGCTCCGGCCCCGGACCGCTCGATACCGACGTCGTTATCGGCTCCCCGGAACGACAGGACCGGCTGATGGTCCAATCGTGGTTTAGCGACACATGTTTACGCGCCTCGACAAATATGGTGAGATATGAGCGCCACATGCCTGGACTGAGCGCGGCCCGGGCAGTAATCTGCGCTCAAGGACCGTATCTGCCATCTTTGGGGAAATCTGCACATCGATGGACGACAAGCCCCTAAGCCCAACAACCACCACAGCAATCTGTCAACGGGACGCACGGGCTAGCTTTGGCTGTCCAGATGTCTCGATTAATTCAGTGTGAGCGACGTTCGACCGGAGAAACAGATTGTACAGCTGGACATGGATGGTGCAGTGCTGATTTTTGGATACATATCACGGCAATAAGTGTAGCATGTCAAATAGTCACCACATAGTTGCACTCTAATCCGTTACAAGATCGTTCTGGCTTTTGCCGAACTCTGCGTCGTGGTTCGTTTGCTTTGGTGGGCGAAATTTGCACAGTCAATAATCAATGTCTGACTAGCTACCTTGCAAAACCAAAGCAATGATGATGGTTTTGGATATAACCAAGGACCGCTTCATTTCCCGGTTTTTCGGCATTACGAGTTCAGAGTACTTATGTTAAGTTATCGACCCTCAACATATCAGAGCACACTGGTTACACAACGTTAAGGAAGCAACATTGGATACATACATATTCGTGGTCGGCGGAGGGTAATTTCAACTTCTTCGCTCTAAGCTCTACAGGAGCCCCTTGACCGTGATACATTTTGGCGACTGCTCATTAGACTCTTACATTTGACTTTTGTCCTTTTTACTTGAATTCATCCCACTTGTCCCTTTCCTTTTCGCTCCGCTTAACACGCGCCCGGGTGGCCGGCTGGATACCCTTCGCTTGGGTGGGTGGGTGAATTTGGCCCCCTGAAAATCTCGGGAACTAATAGAGCTAGAAACACCAAATTTTTAGGGTGTGTTGACCTGTATGTGAACTCACCCTGGTCAGAGTTTAAGGCTCCTAGGTCACGATCTTCGGGTCCAAAAGGTCAAACAAGGTCAAATTCTAAGTTGGTCTCCAAAATGCCCCCCAAACCTACATAACTGTTTCCAATCAAAAGGTCACAGGCTCATTTAAGGTCAGTGATCTTGTTTGACCTTTTGAAGGTCATGGCAACCAAAATCATACCAGACTGCTGAGTTTTGCATTTGAATAAGCAACAAAGATTATGCTAGGTAGTATATTTTTAAAAACAAAAGGTTAAACCAAGTCATTTAGGTCAATGACCTATAATGACCTCTATGAGAACCATGGAAGATGTATAATGTGGTTGCTGCTATCAATGAATTAGAAATAAGCACCAGAAACTGTCCCATACTGCAAGCCCTGGAGTAATAAACAGATTGGTTTTGACCTTGGTCTGACCTTCATACCCGACCTAGGTCAATGTGGTTTGCTCAATCAATATTTGAGTTGCCTCTGAAAGCATCCCGGATATGTATGGCCTCGTCTAAACTCCATTGTTGCATCAGATTAAATGATTCCCTAGAAATTGACTTCACTGAAACTATGGCCTGACTTTGACCTGCTATAGGTCAGCGACCTTATAAGGTACATTTAAGTGTTTGATACCAAACGATTCCGCTATTAAATTGCCTGCAGCTATGCAAAATTTTCCGCGACCAGCGCCGCGCCGTTCGGAAAACTTCCCTGGAAAAGCCCTCAGGGGGTCAATTTGAGCCCCCCCCCACACCCATACATGTCCTTTGACTTCTTCTCCCACTGCCCCAACGGAGGCATCCCATAACCGGATGGTAACATCAGGGGAGGGGGACAGCAGGCTGGCTGGCTTGTCTCGTGTAAATGACCACAGCTTCCAAACAACGGTTCAAGACCGCGGCTGGCGCCTTGCTGAACACACATACATTGCTTGCAGTATGCACACTAGACTTATTTAAATATGTTCTGAGCCATTACATTGGTAAAATAATAAACCAAAGCCCAAGTTATGCAAGGCCAAATCTCAAAAGTGGCATAAAAATGGGTGGAGCAACCATTCCCTTACAAATGATAAACAACAAATAATATTGTAACTCTATCTGACCTAATGCAATAGGTCACCATACTAGATAACTCAATATGCTTCAAGAAAGAGCCACAGAGAATTCCCCATTACTGAAATTCTGACTCTGACACACACAGTCTGAACTTGGCAAAAGGGCGCATCATACCAACCAACCCCTGTTCTGGTGGCAATAGCCATCACAGTTTTACCCAAGATGGCAAGGATCCTTTGCACCTTTTTGCCACAAGAAACATGTCTTTCTTATTTTTTTGTTATCCAGTAGTGCAGTTATGCAAAACCATGAAACCTGTGCACTTGGATAATTTAACACATTATTGTATCATTTCCTTGATTTTTGGGTTGCTTGGATTCATCATCAGCAAGGCAAGATATCATGGGCTGGGGGGGATTCTCCATCTAGTTGGGAGGCTAAGGTGCATGTTGTAAGCTGGGGCCAAGTCTCTCTGGCCAGCCATGCCTGACACCTTTGTGTTAATTGTGGCATGGAAGAAATGGTGAACCATGTCTGTGCTCTGCTGCTGGTTCTAAAAGAACTTGTCTGCCCTGCCAGTGATGATACATTATCTGCAATTTGAAGATAAAAACATCAGTAGCAGCACTTTAGAAATTTAGTTATTCAGACTGATCCATAAATTATGTTGTGCATGGAGGGCAGAGGTGATTTCATGAACTGATCAATACCAAAGCATAAGGCAGAGATGGGGCATGGACAGCATAACATTACCTTCCAGTATGAAGCAAGTCATCCTGAATCTCTAAAACTATCACCACAGCCAGGGGAGGAGGGTTCTCACTTTTCACCTAGTGCAATCAGTGCATGACCATGTATAGAGGGGGGAGGGGGGTTGAAAATGCCTGAAAATTAATTACACTACCTATGGATGGCCCCTTCCTCATCCCCCATGAGCTACAATACAGCTACACTGCCATGGTGTGGCTACAGCTACAATACAGCTCCAATGACATGATGCACAAGCTTACCAAGAATGGGTAGTGATAGATATGGAGATAGGACAAAGAC